CCCCAAAACCCCAAAACCCCAAAACCCCAAAACCCCAAAACCCCAAAACCCCGACATGTAGAGGTATAAAAGAAGTAAGAATTAAAATTATTAATAATCTTTTATATTATATAATGAATACACCAAACTTTATGAACCAGAATAAATCCTTGTGGAAAGATATGGTCAACCACAATGCCGGATCTCATATAGAAATGATGAATGAAGCTAAACCTTTAGATACGTTAGTCTCTAAGGCTTCTGATGTAAGCTCCTTGCTACAAAGAGTGCTGCAAAACTACTGAAGGTCTGATTTATTACATAAACGCCAGAAGCCTATTGTTCAAAATCATGCACAGCTTGTGCAAGCTTGGACTGAGGCTCAGCAAGATGGGAAATTAGATATTATCCCACCAGTAAAACAAGATGTAAGTCTGGCGGTTTTTGCATCACTGGGAAATTATATTTTAGAAATTTACTTTGAAAATTTTTGGTGAATTTCTCTAAATTTTTATACATTGATCCTAATATGAACTTATAGGAAAATATATGCTGAATAACTTCTCAGAAGCAGACAGCCGGACCAGATGCGGGTATAATTGACCACTATCATCAGACCAGAATTTCAAAATTCGACATGGATACTCCTGAAAATGAGATGATGGGTGAAACTGCAAATGCTCTGGTCAAGGCTTGGAACATCAAGATAGATAATATCATCAAAAACAAGGATCTTGATTATGCATCTTTATATCCAGATCTTTCTAATCACAAGAATTCTAAAATCAATCTTAATGACACCAATCTAATATTAGAAAGGAATTCCCAAAACTGACCAAAAGTTCTTCAGACTAGTAATAGTAGCAACACGCTCAAAAAGATGCAGAGGTTCTACCAAGCCATCTATGTTAAAGCTAAGCGGGGTCTTCCAAAGGGAATGAAATCGAAGAAATTAATTTTGAAATCAATGTGTGAGAAGCTGAGGAAAACTTCACTGCTCTCAGAGGTTTCAACTGATGATTTGCTATTTCACCTCTGAAGTATAATTTATCCATCAAAAACCTATATCAAAAACAGAGCTATCTTCACTCCGTCCCAGGGATGTATGGAGACTAAGGCTGAAGTTCGGGCAAAAAGGGCAATAACAGATTTTCAAAATTCCTTAATGAACTTTTCCCCAGAAAAATTTAACGAACTTCTCAACCATACTACGTTTGAGAAGTTATACATCTTTTTTATGGAAAACCTGACTATGGCAAAGGAAAAGAGTGAATCTAAAGACACTCAGACTGAGAAGACCCTGGCGGCACTAACTTATAAAATATCTGCCGTATAAGCTTGTATATGCATTTTTTAATTTAATTTAACTCATATGCTTCCAAGCACGTGTTCATCACAGGGGTTTTGGGGTTTTGGGGTTTTGGGGTTTTGGGG